ATTTTGAAACTTCTGTCAAGATTGGAGTTGGCAAAACTGATGAGATGTCCCCTGATTCCTTTTGATAGCAATTATGTAATCATATTAAAATTGCTATCCATTCCTTTGGACCTGGATGTTATACCATCTCGTGCCCGGTCTTAATGTTATTGAGAATTCCTACTTTACCCGGGAGACCAAACTATGGATCTCCTATCTTTCCTGGCTCTAAATATGCACATTTTTCATCTATATACTCTTTTTGTTTGCTCTTCAATTGTCCCATTTTTCTTTAATGATTTTAAAATATTTTCTTTATTGATGTTTAACTACTGCCATTGTGTAGGGCTTTCACTGAAGTCACAGGAATTGACAGCTTTATTTTTAGCTGTTAGACTCTACTGCAGTTTTGTAATGGAGTACGATATACACACATTATTGGACTCTGCCACGTTAGTCACAACATTGTGGGTTATCTACATGATCCGTTTTAAGTTAAAATCTAGTTACATGGAGGATAAGGACAACTTTGTCATCTACTATGTGGTTAGTATTGATTGTTTTCCTCAGCCATCACTTGACGATATTCTTCTTTTAATTTGTCTAACTTTTACAGTATAATTTCACTTTTTGTATGTACTTTTCCTTATCTGTGTGACAAGTTTATGGCCTGGGTTATCTTTCCCTTTTACGACTTGCTCTATCCCTTTATGTTTTCTTACACTTTCTCTGTACATCACCCCTTCGGATTTTCTCGGACGGAGGTGCTCTTCTACTGGAAGAAGATCTTCTCAAGGAATAACACTTTGATTAGAGCTTTATTCTCTGCATTCGTACTGCATTAATATTTTTTGTTATCTGCTTTACGTGACTGCGTTGCTTGCATTCTTTACACAAATAACATAGGAAAAAAATGTTGTTAGACTTATCTCCCAAGTATACAATGTTTCTAAAGAAAATTTAGATGAATAGTTTGATCTTTACAGTCTCATAGTCTCATAATAATTTTGAAACTTCTGTCAAGATTGGAGTTGGCAAAGCTGATGAGATGCCCCCTGATTCCTTTTGATAGCAATTATATAATCATATTAAAATTGCTATCCATACCGTTGGACCTGGATGTTATACCATCTCGTGCCCGGTCTTGATGTTATTGAGAATTCCTACTTTACCCGGGAGACCGAACTATGGATCTCCTATCTTTCCTGCTCAAAATATGCACATTTTTCATCTATATCCTCTTTTTGTTTGCTCTTCAATTGTCCCATTTTTCTTTAATGATTTTAAAATATTTTCTTTATTGATGTTTAACTACTGCCATTGTGTAGGGCTTTCACTGAAGTCACAGGAATTGACAGCTTTATTTTTAGCTGTTAGACTCTACTGCAGTTTTGTAATGGAGTACGATATACACACATTATTGGACTCTGCCACGTTAGTCACAACATTGTGGGTTATCTACATGATCCGTTTTAAGTTAAAATCTAGTTACATGGAGGATAAGGACAACTTTGTCATCTACTATGTGGTTAGTATTGATTGTTTTCCTCAGCCATCACTTGACGATATTCTTCTTTTAATTTGTCTAACTTTTACAGTATAATTTCACTTTTTGTATGTACTTTTCCTTATCTGTGTGACAAGTTTATGGCGTTTTTTTTTTCTCAATTCTCTCATCAAGTCTTTAATTAATAGTCATTTTAATTACCATTTCACATTACAAATTAGTTTGTAAATAAATGGAATTTCTTTCTACATCTTTTAAACATTTGTAGTGTGCAAATCATTTTTTTCGGATGTGTAACAAGTTTAAGCTTAAGAAGGCACATTTTTAATTAAATATTATTTTACTAATGCATAGTTGGTATGTTCATTTTGTTTTTTGCCTGTCACAAAGGATTGTACCCATTATTTGATGTTGCCTGGTGCTGTTGTGGCTTTGAACCCCTTGAAGTAGTTTCTGTGTCTAAAACACGAGAGGCAATGTACAAAATTGTTATTTTGAGCATCTTTTTGAGCATTTTCTGTAACTCTTCTTGGAGATGTTTTATTTTCTTGAATTATTTGCAGTGCATATGCATATGATCTGTCATTTAAAACTTTCTTGTTGCTTTATTTTCATTGGAAATTTGTGTAATTTTTCTTATAGTTTATTCCGTTTTGTGAAGGACTGTTATTTTATAGTCCTGTGGATTTTTCCTTAAGTTTTGAACTTTTTTCATAAACAATAACAATTAAGTATTTATTAAATCTGTCATTTAATTTTTCATTTTTAAACTCCTTTTCTACCCAATTATTCAAGTTCATCAATAGTTGCTTATGCTGCTGCTGATGAGAGACCATTAAACATTGTACTCACCAGCCACAATATCCTTTAGGATCCACACCTTGTTTCTAGGGAATGGAATCTTGTTGTTGGGACCCTAGGTTGGGATTCTTCTGGTTGCTAGTGGGAAGAGGTCAAATATTTTTTTTTCTTTGTAGTTCAATTCAACAATGACGCTCAATAGGACACACCAATGACACTCAATAGGACACAACGGAGAAAAGGATTCATGTAGCCGACCCCACTTAGTGGGACAAAGGCTTATTGTTGTTGTTGTTGTTGTTGTAGTTCAATCCAACGATGACATTGTTTAACCAAATTGAAGGATTCGTTATCCAAACAAACTTTGCTAATCTTACTAGATTATAATTAAACAACACTTGGTAGCATCTAAAGCATTGTTGTTGTTGTTGTTTTTGTAGTTCAATCCAACGATGACATTGTTTAACCAAATTGAAGGATTCGTTATCCAAACAAACTTTGCTAATCTTACTAGATTATAATTAAACAACACTTGGTAGCATCTAAAGCATTGTAAAATTACTATGGTTTAGCACAGACCCCATTAATATTGTAGGCTTAAGTATAACTTAGTAAAGCTTCTAGGACTGATGAGGCCTTGCTATTTCATCAAATTCCACAAATTTACCAAAGTTCAACTCAACCTTAGTAAATTATAAGGGTTCGGCATAACTCTACAAAATGTTCAGGTGTTCTAGATTTTAGCATGTCCATATTTACATGACGGTAAAAAAACTACAGCTAGTTTACTAAAGTTCTAAAAATTGGCGTTATTGCAAAGTAACTGTATATGTATAGATATACAGGTATCACTTTCGAGTACACTTACATAGGGTTGTAATTAAACCGAGTCAAGCTAAGTATGTCATGGATTGGACTTGGTTTGCTGATGTTATAAGTTTTCCATGTTTGGCTCGAGTTCAAGCTTGAGCTTTCACACATATGTTCATGGTCGACTTGCTTAATTTTTTTAATAATCATGTTTGATTTGCACTTTGATTATTTATATTAATTGAATGATTACTTCAACTAGTTAATAAATAAACAAAAAAAACTTAAATGAGTAGTTTATTTTTCATATAAAATTACTAACAAATAATTTTACAAATCTAGACAAATAAGTAATTCAATAAATTTTGAATAATTATCTAAATAATTTTTATCACTTAAATGAGATAATATATAAGTTGCAAGTAAGCTTTCTTGTAATCAAATAATATAATTAAGTGCTAACAAATTAGTCTATTGAAATAAAAAATGAAGGAACAATATCAAATTACTGATATTAAATTATAATATGTTAATAATCAAATTTTATTTCATTATCATTTTATTTATAATATGGGCTTTTATCGAGCATATAATGAAGTATTTAACAAGTTTCTTATTGAACAACAAACGAGTATGTTTGTGAAATAAATGAGTTAGATCATGTTTAATTTTGTTTCTTTTAACCTTCTAATTCTTAAAAAAAATTCAAATTATTTATTTTCTAATTTGAACAAACTTGATTGAGTGTTAATTGAGCCAAGTTTGAGTAATTCATCATCTGCATTGGTTCATTTAGCTTGACATTCAATTGATATTAATTCATTGTCATGATTTGATAGAACAATTTCAAAGGTAAGGGTCACATAGGAGTAGCTACTCACAGTAAAAGAGTTTGAACTTTCTTTTATAGAGTATTTCTGGTATCTAAATGAAGTTTGAATTACCATTTAGTTATTTCTGTCACTTCTAGTGCTAACATCAAACGGGTATAATGTATTTTATGGTATAAAGAAAATGCTATGTGATATTGAGATATTGTCTTTCAAATCATTTTGAATTTTGTTACAGCTATGTACTACCTCTGTAGCTTGACATGATTTGCTGATGACAAACACTTATTTGTTTCGCCATTTACTCTTTATTCAATGACCAGAGTCGTTCTCCCATGTCCAACACATTTCTTTTCAGTAGCTATTACTGAGCACCCATTTTCGGTCCAGTTAGAAATTAATAAATGCTTTTTCCTTCACCCATTGAAAATAGCTAATAATGAACCTAGTTGAGAGGTGCTTGGATGTTAACTTATTCATTGTTAAACTAGTAGCAGAATTCCTGCTAGACCATTCAAGCTAGTAGTCTTTTCACACTTATTGCCTTCCATTTAATGGAGCTGAAATATTGCTATTCTTACATGGTATAAATGTGTAGGTGGTGCCTTGTCTGGTACTAGCCTTCGCAGTTCATCCTACAACCTCACACAACATTGTGAACAAAATTTCCTGGGCATTCTGTGTTTATTTAGAAGCTACATCAGTGTTGCCACAATTACGTTTGATGCAAAACACGAAGGTAAAAGTTGAGATGTGAATAGTGGTTGTTTTCCTTTGATGCCCCATTTGTCCTGAAGCACTTTTTGTTTCTTTATGCACAGATTGTTGAGCCCTTTACAGCACATTATGTATTTGCATTGGGAATTGCGAGGTTCTTGAGCTGTGCCCATTGGATCCTTCAGGTTTGATTGAGTCCTTACAGTCTGATATCGTTGTTCCATTTTTGTTCTTTTTATCATTACAAAGTTTTTCTACGACTTCCTTTATTTGGTTTTATGTCATGCATAATTTAGAAATCCTATATTTGGTTTTATGTCATGCATAATTTAGAAATGACCAATGTAACCAGGAATTGTTTCGTAGAAGCATTTATATATTTGGCTGCTTTCTGTGATTAGCTGTCATGTTTATCATGTTCCATGCTAATCCTGTCAACATACAAGCATGGGTGATATGTGCATGTTAGCTTGATACCATTCCATAATTTTCTTTTTAGCTCGGAAATCAAGCAAACATATATGCACTACTGTTCATTTTAAAAGTTATACGGAGATATTGAAATTAATGAAAACTGTATTGCCTTGACCGTTTGAATTGTAGCAGCATTTATATTTATGTGAATGCACTGTTATGGGCAGCTCTTTCCCATAGAAAGGCTGTATTTTATTACAATGTTGAAGATCCTTATTTTCCTAATATCTCCCTGAAAATTGATATATAGCTTAATTTCCCTTTAAATATGGCTATCTTGTTTGTCTTGTGTGGAATCCATTACCTGAATTATAGGGTTGATTCTAAACCGTTGAGCAAACAAAATAGGATAAGAAAGCAAAGTAGAATTTCATCGAAGGAGCCAAAACTTCATTTGGCTGCACTATTGCATGTGTAAGGTATGGAGAAAAGTATGACTTTAGTATGGGTGTTCTCTACCGTCAAACTAATAGGGAATTGGGGGCTTGAGATTGAATCAAAATGTCTTACAATATCAGCTTTTTCATTTTAGGTGAAAGTCAATAGTATAAAATCAAGCCTATAAAACAACTAAACATGCTTCTTCATGAGCTAAACTGGTTTATCATGGGGCATGTACGAACTCACCATTCAATTCTTTATATTTACATATCTAACACCTAAAATTTCATATTTACATCCATAACACTCAAACCTTTAACATGACAACAAAAATGCCACTCCTAACTTCTTAAAAGTGAAATACACTTTTTCATATATAGGTTTTTGTAATTTTTGGGAGTGAAAAAATTATTATTCCTACTCAATTTTCTAAAACTCGGGTACAAGATAAATAGTAGTGGAAGACTACCACATTAGGAAAACAACAAAATTCTCATTCCAAAAAAAAGAAATAAAAATTATCAATAATAGCTAACTCTAAACTACAAAGTAATAAAAATAGAAGATATCAAAAGAGAAGAAAAATCTAAATTGCGACACCCCCTCAAGTTGGAGCATAAATTTTTATCATGCCCAACTTGTTTATAAGGAACTCAAAACTAGACTTGAAAAGTCCTTCTGTGAAGATATTTGTTATATGTTGCGTTATCGGAGTGAAAGACATGCAAATAGCTCCACAATCAATTTTCTCTTTTATGAAGTTTCTTAACATTTTTCACATGTTTTGTGCGATCATGTTACATTGATTTTTTTTTTTTTTTTGTAAATGTTTTAACAACTTAATTGTCATAGTACAACTTCTTTGGCATATCTATAAGAATCCGTAGCTCTTCAAGAATTCTCTATTAGCCATAACATCCACACTCTATTAGCCATAGCTTGATATTCTACCTCGACACTATTTTTTGCTACCACATTCTCTTTCTTAGTCATGTAACCAATTTTCCCCAGACTTAAGTATAGTATCTGGATTTCGTTCTCTGGTCAACAATTGAGCCTACCCAATCTGCATTGATGTATGTCTCTATATTTTATTTTGTGGTCTTTTGAAAGAATAAACCCTTATTTAATGTCTTTTTTAGGTACTTGAGAATCCTGTTAACTTCTTCAAGGTATTTCTCAGAAGACAAATGCATAAATTGACTTGTCAAACTTATAGCAAAGGCGATATATAGTCATGTATGTGATAAATATTTCAACTTCTCCATCAACTTTTAATATCAAGTTGTATTCACTAGATTACCTTCCTTCTCTTCTCCTAGCTTTTGATTGGAATCAATTAGACTCTCTGCAAGCCTACAACCACTCATCCCAATTTCCTTTAGGAGATCAACAACATGCTTCCGTTGGAAAATTACCATTTTCTTTGATTTAGCAACCTCCATGCTTAGAAAATATCTCAGAGATCCTAAGTCCTTGATCTCAAAAACTGATGAATCACCGCGATGTCGTCGCTTGGTCCATCGCGGAGATGCTCGGAATACTAGTTAATATCGCCTGCCACAGATTGAACGTGAGCCCTAAAATTTGACCAATTAAGCAGAAGGTGAGGAACTTAGTGACC